AACTGTGAACCTAGAAACTTGCAGCCACTTGTGAAAGAGATGTACTCTTGCTCTGGAGTGTGTTACTGAATATGTTAAAGCTGTAGTGAAATGCTTCTTCTAATCATGTAGTTATTACAAATTTTTAAAAATGACAAAAAATAATAATTCTTCAAAGCATAAAAAGAAAAAGAACTGGAAGAACAGAAGCCCAGCAGCAGCTTTCTCAGCAGGGGTGAGGGATAAGGGAGACTCACTGGGAGGACTCAGCTGGACCCCTGTACAAGTTTCTCTTCTGAAGTTCACACTAGAAACAAAACCAAGGTCGCTGGACGGAACCCCAGGGTGGAGCTCAAGGACTGTGAAGGAAGGCAAAGATCTTGTTGACTCCAAAGTCATATAACTGTTCCCACATCCCACTGGGATGACAACCATGTCCCGGTGGGATTTGTGGTTTCAAGGCTCCTAGGTGCCAGCCAGATCTACAGTGGGTCTGGACCATGACAAGGAACACAGGCACAGGAGGGGGAAAGGAGCTGCATACAAAGGCCCCGTTTCTCCATTGACTACAACCCTGACATTCTGAGCAGGAGCCCTGACTCAGATTGGGGGGGGTGGTATATGTATGCATGAAGGTACATGTGTTCCTGTGTGCACGTGCCACAAGTTGACTCTGGATGTCTTTATCATGTTCCATTCTATTTATTTATTTGAGGCCAGATCTCTCATTAAACTTAGAGCTCACCATTTAGAATAGACTGGCTGGTCAGTGAGTTCCAGGGGATCTGCCTATCTCTGTCCCTCTATTGCTGGGGCTACAGGCACATGCGATGGTGACCTGTATTTATGAGTATGCTGGGGATCCAAACTCAGGTCCTCATCCTTGTATAGCAAGTACTTTACCCACTGAGACATCTCTCCAGTCCTGGGAAATCTTTATATGGAAAATCTAATCAAGAGCAGAGGCATGAAAAAGCCTGCGTGAGATGATGCAGCTGGAGAGAGTATGGGCTGACCACAGATATGCCTCTTTCTGGAAGGCTCCCACATCCTAACATTGAAAAGACACACCTGGGGAGCAATGACTCACTGATTCAGAGCACCGGCTCCTCTTGCAGAGGACCCAGGTTCAGTTCCCAGCACCCACATGGTGGTTAACAACCGTCCATAATTCCAGTTTAAATGTTTAAAAATAAAAATCTTTAAAAGGCACACAAAAAGCCTTTGCTGGGCATGGTGGCATGCCTATAATCCCAGATCTTGGGCGGCAGAAGCAGGTGGATCTCTGTGAGTTGGAGTTTAGCCTGGTCTACATAGCAAGTTCCAGGCCAGCCAGGGCCTGTTTCAAGAATAAATAAATAAGGCAGAGAAACAATTAAGGAAGACATACTGACATCAATTTCTGGCCTCCGTATAGGCCCATATGGGAAAGCATACCCCCACACGTGCATCCATGCATCCAACACACACACACACACACACACACACACACACACACACATCACAATCATTACCTAAGTCAAGATTCATTAGTCTGCCTTTCCTGTTTCTACCTTGCAATGTCACTTGACTTTGACTGAGAACAACCACAAGGCTGGGAAGAACCCACAGGCCCAACCCCAGCAGCTGTGTGCTGGTTTCTTTCCAGTCCTGTCTCAGGCTGTCAGAACCCCAGACCAGCTGGTTGAGTCCTGACACCTGCTTAGCCTGTGTTGGCCTATTTCACAGGTGGCTGAACCCCCAGTTATTTCCCACTTCCACTCTCCTTAAGTTGCACAGACTGTGAAGTGTCTGTGCTGACTCGGGTCTTTATTGGACCCAGTACAGGGTTATATTAGTTACTTTTCTGTTGCCTTGATAAAACAGTGACCAATATCAACTTTAGGAGGAAACACTTCCAAGTGACTGTCCGTCACTAAGGGAAGTCAGGC